CTTTGTAATATTCTGTGAGAAGTGTCATGTTGTTACACAGACCTGGGAAGCCCATTTTGTCCTTCATTAAATCAACCTTCAAATAAAACGTACAAAATTAAGCATATCACGATTCATGCAATCAGATCAACTTCTTCGCGCGGAATTTGGTAGTAATAGGCATACTAAACGCTGATAGCTGCAATCTTGTTCCTCTAAATTCTAATTTCAAAATCTTGTGCGCAACTTGGAAAATATTAATATTCTTGTGTACTGAACAGAAACCTAAAGTAAAACTCTTTGCGTACCGTGGTGTTTTCCACACACTTACCTTCGCAAACACGGCAGTGCGCATGCGTGCCTTGGTGTTTTCCACACAACCTTTGTAAAAAAACAGCATTGCGCATGCGTAGCGTGGCGTCTTTCACACAACCTTCGCAACATTGCGCATGCGTAGCGTGGTATCTTTCACACAACCTTTGCAACATTGCGCATGCGTAGCGTGGTGTCTTTCACACAACCTTTGCAACATTGCGCATGCGTACCGTGGTGTTTTTCACACTCCTACCTTCGCAAACACATTTTTCTTGGATTCCTCGTCCAACCAGTCCAGCTCGGCTACTTCGTCTTTAAACGCCTTTTTGATGCTGTCAAGCATTTCTTTTAACTGATGAAAAAAAAGCGAAGGAAACCCTTCTATTAAACTTTGTACGAAAACTAAATCATCAGCTGCTAAAAGTGTCGCGGAATTTATAAATTTGATTGACAAAAGGGTCTTAAATGTCACGCAATAAATATGTCACGCGAGACAAAAAAGAAACCTCACGTTTTATGTAAATGAAAAGTCATATCGAGCGTAAAAGTATACACCGTATAAAACGTTGTCATCACCAGAGGCGATAGGCAATAAGAGATAGGCGAAAAGTGATAGGAGATAGGTCATTCCAAGATCCARGAATAGCTGGAATGACTTGTGTTTCTGCTTCTTATTCTCGTTAAGAACATCGACCTTAGTGATGAGATTGATTCAGTGTTCTTTGTATTCAACAAAATCATTTACATGTTGTAATGACCTACTGCCTATAGCCTTTGGCGATGATAACGTTAAGTTTATTGTAATAGGTGTATACGAAAATTATATCAAGCATCGCGCAGCCTACCAAAGGGACAATATCTTTATCAAACTCGTTATCAATAAACAGTTTCCCCATAGCCATCGTAATCCCTTGCTGGTCGTTCAGCTGTGTTATACACTCCAACCAGCGAGCTTTGGTGCCAACTGTCCCTTCTGACTTGAGCCTGTATTCGTTGACTGCTTCTTGGAATGGTGACGTCATGTATTCTAGATAACTTCTGACTGCTGACCACATGAAATAATTAAGGAGAGTTCTGAAATAACAGGAAAGGGAATTAAGATGTGGATGGATGGATGGATGGATGGATACACGGACGGACGGACGGACGGACAGATGGATGGATGAATAATATTCCTTCCTACCTATCCTCAGTTTTCTCAATTATTTTCACCAGGTTCTCGAGGTATCCCAAGTGTGGTATGACAAGTCTCTTCTTCACATCCAGCTTCGTCCCATTTATTTCATCGAGCATTTTGTTAAGGTACCGTAACCATGGAAACTAAAAGAGATTGTAGTAAAACATATATAGAACACGTTCTGTGATTGGTTGAAATATAAAAAATAGTCGACAAATCATTATATTTTTGGAATAGAGGTTTTGCATCATCCTGTGCTGGCAGCCATGTTGGATGACATAAATTCCTTTCTCTCTCAAGAATCGAATTGTTTCTCATGTGAAACGATTGATTAGCTGGAGATTAACTCGTTACCAGTCTCTCATGTATCACCTCCTTACCCCGGTCTTCGCCTCCAGGTATTCTATTGTGTACGTATTATACCAATTGGAGTAAATATCAGCAAACGATGGCACACTCTGAAATCAACCAAAAGAAACACACGGTCAGTAAATTATTCAGACTGCGCCCGCGATTATTGAGGTCTGCGGTTTAGTATTTCTCGAGCATGCGAAAGCAAAAACATGGCGTAAAACAAGGACAAGTTATTTTATTTAAATCGAATAAAAAGTGAATAAACAAGAAATTTGCAGGCAAATGGTTTGCAGTRGATCGATTGACCAAAAAATGAAAAAAAATTCGTTACGTGACGTCTAGCTGATCCGAGAGAAAATATTAGCCAATTAGAATCGAGAAGATTTGCAAACTGCGGTGCCTTTTTTCCTCTTGAAATTATAGATATCCAGGCATGGGCTGCAGGAGAATATTTGGTRTGTGATGGGGAAAATTTACTCAAAGTAGACCATAATGCACCACGATTATACTACGAGAGAAACAAGGTGCATTCTGGTCTATCTTGGGTACRAACATCTTTGTCTACATTTGTCCCTAAACTAGGCCACAATGCATTCTGAGCTCAGAAAAGCTTATTCCGTTCATACAAAAGCATGGCTTTACCTTTGCAATAGCCATTTCAAAGTCAACCACGTCTTTCATTTGTGATCGTGCTCTCTCCTCGTCTCCACCCAGGAGAACTATTACACGAACCATGTAGTTGAGAAGTGCATTCAAAATCTGCAAAAGTCAAGTCAAGTCAAGTCAAGTCAGGTCAAGTTAAGTCAGGTCAGGTCAGGTCAGGTCAAGTCAGGTCAGGTCAGGTCAAGTGAGGTCGATTCGAGTCGAGTCGAGTCGAGTCAAGTTTATTTCACACACAAAAATTACAGTAAAAWATGGAATATTGATATAGATTTTAACAGTTATAAAATTTACATAATAAATATTCACAAAGTGAGATCAAGTTACTGTGTATAGCTGTTGAAAAAGTATAAACTATCGAGTCAACAGCCAATCCTGTTACAGCTAGTATTAAAAGCTTGTCCCAACCGATTTAACGTGCATGCATTCTGATGGAGGTAATAAGTTTTGATATCCTAATAATATTAATAGATAAAGATGTCCATACCTTCATGTCGTTTTTTTCGTAAGCTTCTTTGATTCCGATATCGGGAGGATAGATCTAAAGAATAATATTTAAAAAATAAAGTTTTGGGGTGCAACGTCATGACTCAAAATCTTGAGATATAAACAACGATGAAACAGCCGCCTCGATCTAACAAGAGAAGCTAGTGAGGAATGCATGACATATCTCCATGACAACGCATATAATTTCGCTTTTGTCTGACCGTATGTCTGAGGAAATCTTCCGAGCCCGCAGTACAAGGTTTTGTGGTTAAAAAATGGTTTTGATAAATGTAAATTTAGACCGAACCATTGGCGGTAACTCCTTCAAAATGGGTTGATAAGCTTACGTAATCTCTACTCGACTTCTACCAGTCAACCATGGAATACTTAACAACTATTTGTAATATTCCTTGAATTTAAAGTTGTCTTAAAAAGTACAAAGGTGATGGATATTTCGTTATCCTTTCGCTAATCTACTTAAAGAATTTAGCACTCAATTACTTAAAGAATTAGCGAACTAAATGCTAATTTATTTAAACGCTTAAGGGTTCTTTTCCTGTCCAATATTCGATCGAGTACAAAAATTAGCATTTCTGCAAAACATTACTTTATTTGACGAGACAATGATGATCTTTATCTGATATTAAATGCTTCCATGCGGTTATAAATGACTGAAAATTCGAAACAGCTGTGAGCTTTTGAGGCTTGAGGTTTTGCAAATGTGGTAAAGACCGAGCATTACTTCGATAACGTGCGAAGATTGATTGAAAAATGCCAGCAATATCATTGAAGGGCTCTAGTATTGATCTTATCTATATCTACGAACGAGATTTTATCTTAAATCTCAATTTTGAGAGAGAAAAATAAGAAACTTAAACGATTCACGAACTTTGAAGAAAAAAATCAAAAATTGTACAACAAATAATTATAAAATAAAAATAAAAACTAAAATTTGTAGGGAAACATTATTCTTAACTTCTTGTCCAAAAATACRACTTTAGCGATTTCTCTTTTTTTTTAATATGCTAAGGAACTCGGATACTTTCACAGTTGTCTTATTGTTTACAAAGAGCAAACACACTCAAAATTTAAAAGAATGTATTTTGTACTTACTTGAAATGTGTTTTCTCCAGTATCTTTTGGATTTACCATAACTTCAATCGTGAAAAGAGGGTTTTTGTTCATCAATTTTGCCATTTCGTTTGTCCAATTCCAGTTTGTTGAATTCCAAGTATTGTTCACAAGTGCTGGCCAAGGACCTAGAGATCCCAGTACCTTTTGAAAATCTTGAAAAGCATTTCTTTGGATGCTATCTTCATTCRTGCACGAAGTAAAATAGTTCTTAACCTTTGTATAAGGATGATTGGTATCAAAGCTTCCTAGGCGCTCAATAATAAAGCGTAGTTTTTGATTATTTACGTTTGTAAGAATCATCATGTTTGCTTGTTCATTGACTCCTTCTGGTATAGGATTGGCTTTTACCCAGCCATCACAGGAATATTTCATAAAATTCTCACATGGATTTGCACTCTTATTCATATCTTCCATGATTCTAGCTGCAACTTCAAGACATTTAGAACTATAACAGAACTTTTCACCAGATCTTTTCTCGTCTTTCTTTATCTTCTTCACTTCCAGAGCGTACAGAACGACAAGTACAAGACAGATGACAAGCAGAACGACCACGATGGCTATAAGAATTTTCTGAAACGTTTTCTTCCGTTTTTTAAGACTTTGAGTTGGGGCATTTTCGATRTTTTCGGTGCTATAGGTAACATCTCCGTTCTGTTCCAAATCCTCCGATTTCTTCAGCTCTTTGAATGTACAAGAACCTGACAAAGACATTCCTAGCGATGATGAATTTTGGTTTTGAAAGAAATCCGAGGTAAGAGTCTCAAGAGTGTAAAATGTGCTGCTTGAAGCTGCTCGTCTCTTAATATAGGCAAATGAATATTAGCCGTTAAGTGACTTAAAACAATCATCATCTATAATTCGAATGACATGTGCGAGGCGACGTTAAGTCTATGTGCGGGTTTTGCCTTCAATTATCCGGGGCTTCAGTCACACTAGTCTCGCAATTGCAAAGTAGACCCAAACGGATCTAAACTAATCCCTGTTCTCATCAAATATWTAACAACGGAACTCAATAAACACATTTAATACTCTAATGAATTGGGCATTTAGTTGGACAAAAACCAATTATCTAAGCTAAATTTGACGTTAAAAATGACTTTTGGAGAAAATTTTTCTACTGTATGTCTTAAGATTTGAGGTTAAGAATGAATGATGCATTGACTTTCAACACCCTGAAGGGTAAAATGAGTAAATGTTTTCATAACATGTTTGTTTGAAAATCAAAAATGTATTAACAGATTCACAGTCTGGTAATTAACTCTTTCTGGGGAACTCGGTAGGGCAGATATTTTAACGCTCAATTAAAAATATTTTTCCTCCAAATTTTTTTTCAAAATTCCAAAATTGAAGTACTGTATTGCTCAAGAAAAATGAAATTCAGAAGATTTATAAGTTGCAGACGATCGGTATTCTAGATGTTAATCTGATATTTTGTCAACGTAGGGGGGTGGGGAAGGGAGTGAAATGCTTGGCTGAGTTTGGACGTTAGACTCGAGTGCATAATTAGTGACTGTAAATATCGTTGAAGCGGGAAGAACCGAAACAAATGAAACTCTTGAGAAAAAATTTAAAGAATTCCTTGAGAAAATAACACAAACTACAGGTCAAGGATGCCTTTGGAACATTACACCACGATGGGGGGAGGGGGTGGGTAGTAGAAACTTTTTAACTGCGAATTCTTTACCATATTTGGTCTTTCTACTTAACAAATACCGCGTGCACTAAACCATAAGGATATATTCTGATTTTTCACGCATGAAAACRAGTCAGTGTTTCCGTCTGCCATCTGTTTGTCTGTTAGTCGAAACTTCTGTGTCTTGTCCAACGGTCCAGACTTTTGTTTGTCTGTCTGTCGGTCAGTCCACATGTCCATTTGTCCGTCTGTCGGTCAGACCACATGTCTATTTATCCGTCTGTCGGTCAGACCACATCTTCATTTGTCCGTCTGTTGGTCAGTCCACATGTCCATTTGTCCGTGTGTCGGTCAGTCCACATGTC